GACAACAACAACAACGTTTGTGTGTGTGTTGTGGTTGTGAAGTGCTGTCAAGTTGGTTCCTACTCATAGCAACAATGTATTGGGTTTCCTAGGAGCAGCTGGTGAGATTGAACTGCCGACCTTGCAGTACAAAAGCCTTTGCAGTCTGGCACATTAACCCACAGCGCCACACCAGGACTCTTAAATATATATATATCTGTGTGTGTGTGTGTGTGTGTGTAAAACGCTATATATAGAGAGAGCGTTACTCCGAGTTGGAATTGAATCAATGACAGTTACTTTTTGGAATCACATGATAACTAATTTAGAACTACTTTGGTATAAGAAGATAGCTGTGCGTTTGAATTTTTCAAATTGTAACATTTCAATGCGAAATGTGCTCAAACATAGAACTATATGTATTGTCTAAAAGAGCTCAGAGTGGACAGATTCAGGCCTTGTTAATAAATCAGTGAGAGATTAGACCACAAATGTTTCTGACCTGTCACTTGCCCTGCTCCTGAAAACTCAATCCTGAAGGTTCTTTCCTTCAAGTGCGACCTTTCTCTAGAGAGACAGACTGACCTCAGGAAGGTGCCATGTGTGCCTCCTTCAGGAATGATTATTTTCAAAGACCAGCTTTGAAAGAGTTGTTCTATACTTACAGACATTTTTCATCTTCTTTTAAAAAATGCATAGTCACTGTGTTGTTTGGTGCCGTCAAGTCTGTTCCAACTCATAGCGACCCAGTGTGGTGTTTCCGTAGGAGCGGCTGGTGGGTTTCAACCATCACTTTGCAGTTCTGCTGTTTTCTTTGTTCTGCATATCTTCCTGTGCTGAGTTTCTGGTTTTTGTGGCTTTTCTTGTGAGTTTCCTCATAGTTGTAATGCTTCCATGTTCTTCTTGGATTTTCATTTTCTTGGTATGCTGTGAAGTGTTCATTTTCTTTGAGGTTACTTTATATTCCATGAAAATTTCCCTCTTTTTAGTGCAGTCTTTTTTATTCTGTAATCTACCTGACCTTATCACCATCTGGGTTTCTGTTCCTATGTGTTTACCATCTTTCACATTGCAATTGTTTGGATCATAGACTGACCTTCCAGTTCCTCTGAGTGTTTTCTTATAGTTCTGTTCTTTTCTTGACTCTTCCTTCTGTCATTTAGTTTTGGGAGGTGCTGCCACATATGTCAATCTCTGGTTGTTGTCTGTTCTTGTCAATTCTCAGCCCACAGACTCCCTTTAGGATGTTTTGTAGTGTAGGG